GAAACCTTAGGCCACGCATTCCTCAACAACAATGCCCACTGCTCAATCACTCCGTACCTTGCATTCACCACTTCCTCCACCGCAAGCACCCTCTTGCACCAGAAAATGAAAAAGCCACAATTCATCGCCCCCAGAAAAACCCCCCACTTCAGCAAAATCTTTGGAGATTCCAAATCCAGGCCTAAAACCTCACCTCAGTTACCACCCAGATCATTGTTTTTTCACTTAACGATCTCAGAAGAGCTCAAAGTGGTACCAACAATGCCAAGTATTCACAATCTCAAAGTGTAAATTCCACCAAAAATGGACGGATTGAAACAATTGGAGTATTTCAAATTTCAATTTTGTTGCCTTGGATCCGGAAATGAAGGGGGGTCGATTGATAACCGCGGATATCGGTGCCTCAAGCCCCCACAATAGTTATAGTTGAAGGAAAATGTTAAAAATTCAGAAAAAAAAAAAAAAACCCAAAACCGTATGCCCTTTCCCAATCCTATTCCTTCTTCCCATTGGAATTGAGCATGCTAGGTGACGAGGTAAAAACAGAGGTTGAGGGAGAATAGGATGGGTATTGATGGATTTGCTGCAGATGGAACGGAGGAGTTGGGATTCATAAAAGAAGAAGAACCCTAAAGAGTTGGGATTCCATTAGATCCTTTCTGTTGTGAAGGAAGATGTTGCCGAAAGCGACTGCGAGAGAGACCGAAGCCCAAATCATAAGACTTACCCTTCCCAACATTACAATTACAGTTATATCCCCAAGACGATAACCATCTAAAAATCCAGATTCCCCACTTATGAAATGATTCCATCAAAATCCCATCTCAAAATTCAAACTTCTGCATTTCCCCGACCATCAATTTGAAACAAGAATTTTTATGAGTCTGCTAATGGAAATCTCTAGAACAAAAGTGTAAAGAACGAAAACTTTGCATATCTTCGCTACCAATTTGATACCATGCCAAGCGGCTTAAGGAAGTATATACAACTAAGAAAGATTAACAGCTTTAACCTTCGAATATATTTTAAGTCTGCCATCGTACCCACCCAGATTGTAAAACACTTTCTCAATATATTTGACGATAAAGAAAGACAAAATTACAAAGCATAACAAAGACAACAGAAGGCTGACAATTTTAGACAAGCCAATGCCAGCCATAACAACAACTTCAAACCCGAAGAGCACTTATTAAGGAAACATTAAATCAGAAGCTCCAAATCATCAACTCTGCAACTAGCTTCTTCTTTGAACAAGTCTTCTGGCTTTCCTCATCTTCCTTCCACTTTGACTTTGTCGGCCATCAAACAAAGACACAAACCATTTTGGTT